AGTCAAGGAAGTAACTTGCTAGATTGTTAAATATTAGCTAACACGTACGCTAGCTGTTGGTAACTAAAAAAGTTACGAGAAACTCGTACCGACGGAAGTTAGTAATTTGTAGTAGCTGGTTATGGTAGCTAGTTGTGGTAGCTAGTTGTGGTAGCTAGTTATATGATATGGTAACTATTTATGGTAGCTAGCTATGGAAAGCTAGCTCTATAACTATTGTGCACACGCCTCATTCAAACAACTATCTTCAAACTATCCTTCTGCAAAGGCTCTTCGTCTTATTATATTAATATAATATAATATATAATGTATATATACATGTAGTATGTGAGTTCTTCACAAATTAAATACCAAGATAAGAATAAGCAGCGTCCACATCTTTAGCTTAACCGATTTTATTGATTAATTTGATATTGATTTATTGAAATGCTAAAGCAGTAAGAAATGAGTGCTTAGTTATTTGAGTTAGTTAAGGTTTTCATTCATATTTCAGTATTATTATTATTTGGTTTTCCCATCAAGAGTAAGCAATTAAACAATTCGATGAAATTAAATATTCTCTATTTCACAATGTATTTGCATTTCTTCAATACCATATTTCACCCCCTTCAGGGCTGAATTATCCATTCATAGTCGTAGTAGTAGTAGTACTTAGTAGTAGTAGTAGTATTTGATTAGTAATTAGCAGTTTGCTTAACAAAATAACTGAAATGTGAAATAAATCGTAATTGATTGTGTCTAGACTCAAGAGGAATAGAAAATGCTCACGAGCCAGACTGGATATGGCTGTAAATATTTCTAATATTTTCTAATGATTGAATTTTAGAGTTTGCTTAGTATCTTCTTAAATGTTTCTACTACGAGTATGTGCGTTGTTTTTAGAAAACTTGTTTAAATCCCTTAATACAATAAGTCATTGCTTTAGAGATGGCGATGCAGCTTTAGTTTAAACTGCATGCCAAGCTAAAATTATAAATTGCTGTAAAAATATATTTTGGCAAAAATTTACTAAAAATTGTCAGCTGGCATAAAAACTGTCGCTGGCAGCTGCTGACAACATAATTCAAAAACAGCTCACACACACACTTACACACACACACATAGGGCTATTAAATATGGTTGTCGGCGTCGCCTGGGCAGACGACATTAAAGAGTTGCACGGTATTAAAGGTATTAACTTTTTATTGTTTTACATGCTGCACAAACACACACGTTTATATATGTATGTAGATATAAAATGCATGATAATAAAGAGAAAAGACAAAAAAAATCAAATGACAGCAACTGAAAATTAGTGTGGAGTTTGAGAGGCTGTGTGTGTGTATGTGTGTTTGTGAAAGGCACGTGAACTTGAAATCCTTTGAGCGCAAAAATCGAAATAAAAACACGCACGAAAGCCATAAAAAGTAGCCAAAAATAAAAAGACAAGAACCGAAAACTAAAGTTGCTAGGCAGACAGCGATGGGCACATAAAAACAAAACTGCAATGCGAGCATATAAAAGAATACAAATACTATATATATATATATATATATATATATATATATATATATAAATTGTATATATACAATAAATATTTTCAAATAAATACAACTTAAATTGTTCATAACACAAACAAATGGCCGGTAAAATGGCCGAAGGTGCTGCCTGTTGTTGTTGTGTGTGTGTGTGGGGGGTTGACCATTAAATTGCCAATAATTGAAAATCCAATTGCAATGTGCAACAGTGCGGGCTTTGCCGGGGCTTTCGAATTTGCCCAGCATTGAGCACGTTGCGTGGCCATTATTTAAACAAGAGCGTAAACAATAACGATGACAACAATAGCAGAACAGAGTGAAATTTGTTAGCAACATGTTTGTCCTGCCAGTGGCCGCACCTGCAACGCCAACATTCAACAAATGTAAACGTTGCCCCTGTCTGGCAGAGTCTGCAACTGTCTGTACATACGGGTATACAAGTATGTAGGTGTGTGTGTGTGTTTGTGTATGTCAGGGATAACTGCACTTGTGCATATTTTAAATGCGCACAATTTTTGTGTTAAATTGTTTTGGCACGCAAATAATGCGCTCCGGCATCCAGGCAGCTGAGCCACAACCCTCCTTAGTCGTCTGCTCTGGTCGATGCTGGCTGCTTGCCGGCAGTTCAAAGTTTATGCGGCTGTTAACCCGGCCAGGTGTCAGCCATAGCTAACAAATCTCTGGCCCTAAACGCAGACAAATGAGTGTGAGTGCGAAATGTTGTGTATGTGTATTAGTGCGTGTGTGTGTGTGTGTGCCAAGGGCAAGCTGAGCTAAGAAATAAGTGGAAGTATTTGGCAGCAGACAGCTAGCGAAGCAAGCTTTTTTAAAGACTTTAAACATTTGTTTATATATAAAAAAAATAAACTTAGCAAGAATTTTTTATTAATTTTAAGCTTATTATTAACCATCCTGACATAACTGACATACAGAAACAAACTCATTAAACAACAGAAGATCGACTGGAAAACTTCAAAAGAAGCTAAATGGTTTTCATAGCGGACGTTGAGACATTAATATAAATATAATACAATCCCACCTTAAAGTTTTTAATCAAACGAACACGGATTGCTGGGACTTATCTAATTGTTTCTAATGCAATATATTACGGCAATGTTTGTATATTTATATAATTGTTGTTTGATTTTATGGAAAAATCTTTGAACGGATTTCGTGCTTTTACTCATTTGAATTGATTTAATTAGAATTTAAATTTCATGGCCAGGTTTCAAAAGAAAGTCCTTTCTGGCATCCTCGCCTATTTTCTTCCTTTCAATTACTTGACCAATTAATAAAACCTATACAAATTGTAACCACATCTTTGTTTTTTAGTGATTTCTTGAAACAAACAATATTTTTACGAAAAGCTATATTTTTTACATTACAAATGTTTGCCCATATCACAGAGTCTGTCAAAAATTGATTATTAATTTATTATTTAAAAACTACAAGTTTTCTTGTTATCCTCAGACTTTAATCTTATTTGTATGTATATGCAAGTATAAAATTAAATATTGACTTTGAACACTTATTAAACAGAGCTAAAGACTTAAATCGTGCAAGTACTTAGAAATTTCCATACAACATTACAATTGCAAAAAGTAAATAATTTGTTTGCAATCTGCTCGATTTAAGATAGCTCCATAGCTCTATAATCTTAAGTGTCATAAGTTGTTTTCGTATTCATAAATATCAGTTGCATCCAGTCTCTATTAACAGAAGTGACATTTGTATGCCTTTTAGAATTACATTCACCTTCCGATAAGGTCAGCCCTTGGCAACAGCGTCAAACTCCCAGAACAATTAGCCTAAACGGAACACAACAAACACTTGACTACAATCCAAATATCAAATTTCAACGGAAAGAGGCAGCAGCAGGATGAGTTGGAACGACCCTTCGTGGCTGCCGTCATCCGCATCTCTAGCTCTTCGCCTTCGGCACTACGCCAGAAGGGTGTTCAATTAGCCGTGACATGCGCAACAAAAGTGAAATTTGTTTAGTTGTTGTTGTTGTATATATTTTTTTCGTTTTGTTGCTTCCCCAACCACTATGTTACGCTCTTATGAAGATTATGCGTTAATGATTACACAATGATTATTATGAATATGCATGAGGCGAGCAAAAAGAAGCTGAGGGGCCAGAACGACAAGTGTCGGACATCATGCGCGGAAATTTTTGGCATATTGTTTAGAAATTTACGAGTGTCATATGAATGATGAATAAATTTCTCGTTGTTGTTGTTGTTCTTGCTCTTTTTTTTTTTGGGCAACAACATGGATGTAAATATTTATGTGTATGCAATGGGAGCGTAAAAGATTGCTGCTGAAAAACTGTAACGAATGAATATTGAAATGCCGACAGCTGCTGATGACAGTTTGTGGAAGTTTCGTTTCGTGTTTGGGTTTCGTAGTTTCTGAATAATAGATGCGAAAATAGCTTTGACAATGTGAATATGGACACTTGTTGATGACTGGAGTGGAGTGGAGTGGAGCTGCGGCGCACGCTTCAACTGCAACAATCCAATATTCATAAATATATAGTGTGTATATCAAGTATACGTCGCATATGCTGCTGAGCATTTTGGGCGACATAGCCACAACGCATTGGCACGTGAATAATGGCCGCATTAATTACTCGGAAATTTGTAAAGATACATCAGTCGGAAAAACGCTGGGGCTCTGGTAAGCAAGAGACAAATTAATATAAATTTGGAGCATAATCATTCAAGAGCATGAATAATATTTTCTTTAGGCGAACATTGAATGCTCTCAAACTTTTGGTTAATCTTTATATGCCTTTAAGAGACTTAAGCCGATCTCTTTTCGTTTTAGAAATTGTTTGAATTTGCCTAAGTTTATCATCAAATGAAGGAAAAACATTTGATAGTTGAGTGATTTTGGGAAAATCTGTCGATTTTGTTAAATTTAATAGCAATTAAATTATTAGACTAAATTTGGAATAGACTTTGCTCACTTCTCTGTTATTCAATTAAAATAATTGGTCTTAAAAATATGGCCATTGCGTGAGTTGAACAAAAAGAAATTGGCAATTTTTTAATCCCTCCACATGGTATGAGCACATTTCACTAATATTTAAACTTCTTTATATGTACTTTTAATCTGTCTATAACTTTATTTATGTTCTCATCTCTAAAGCTACTAAAGTTTAAAAAGTTATGGTTGAATCAGCAGTAAAATTAAAAAATGCATTTCAAACCTATTCTGTGCAAAGGCTTGCTTTAAGAAAGCAGAACAAGTGGCATATTTTTGCAATCTTTCATCAAAGTACGAAATGGTTGCACATTTTTTGTTGTCCAGAGATATCACTTTTTGAATTTTCTTATCAATAATATTTGTCCAACCTAGGAAAGATCTTATCAACCGATTTTATAAGCGATACTTGCAGATCTCTCAACATAAGTAATACTTAGAACTATATATTACTGATACGTTCATTTCTAATCAACTCTATTCGGTACTTACTTCTGAGTTTCTCGAGCGGCTCGTGCTTGGGTGTGTGTGGTGGCACCACCGCATGATGCGGATGCTGCGGATAGCCACCAACCAAGTCCTGACCGGAGGCAGCCGTGTGGTGCAAATGGCTGAGACTGCTGATGGGCATCAGACTCGAGATGGCGGGTGAAATACTGACCGAGGAGCTGGAATCGTGCAGACTGTGATGACTGTGCAGATGTTCGGCGCCGGATGCGCTGCTGCCACCACCGTTGACTGTGGAGCTGCCAGTGCTCCCGCTGCTCAGCGCTGTGCTTGTGGTGGTGGCGCTCTCTGCCGAGCCAGCCGATCCTGCGCCATTAGCCGTGCCTGCACTGACCAGATCTTGTAGACACAGACCCGTGGATTCGGCTGACATGGCTTCCAGGCCGTTCAAGGCACCACCGCCCACACCAATTCCGCCACCACCGCCGCCAATACCGCTGGGTCCGAGCGCAGTAGCCGAACTGGTCACAACACCCAGACCACCGCCTGCCGCACCGCAACCGCCAGCGGCGGTGCGATCCATCCCTAGATATGTTGGAAAAATGGTGGAAAAGCTCTGGGCTACAGCCTGGTGCGGCTGATGGTGGTGCAGTGCGGACTGCTGGTGCGCTGGATGCGCCGGATGCAGTGGCGGCAGGTGATGATCTCTGCCGGTGAACTTCGTCGTGACGACGTCCTTAAAGTGTTGCAAGAATGTCGTCGTCTTGAGGCCGGTATCTTCCAACTGTGGTGAAAGCAAATCCAAGATGTGGCTGTTCTGGGCGATCGCGACAACCGAGAAAGCTGCGCGACGCTGCAGGAAAAAAAAAACAAAAATATGCGAAGAATTGTTAATTAGCACATAGAATGGCAAAACAATATTTCAACACAAATTTGCGTTTATGCACTGAGAAAAATATGAGTCGTAAATCAGATTTAATTTAAAAGTGGAATGCATTCTACAAATACCCTTTCTTTCAGATAACATGCTATTTACAGGGTCAAAAATTGTTTTAGACTTAAGACGAATTTTGCTCTTCTATTATTAGCAGTTTAAAGTTCATGGTTTCATGTTTTGTTAAGCAATATTGATTTAGATTTAACGAATTCCTTAGGTTTTTAAGTGGGCATTCAAAAATGGCTTTGTTTTGTATAACATACTTTGCTTTGCTTTAATTAAAATAGTGCAAATTATTAACCTGACTCGATGAAGTAGCTGTTTTCTTTAATTAAATCAATAAGCATTGAAAAAAATTCAAATTTCTAATTTGCAAAATTTTGTAGACCTAAATAGAACTACATATGTTTTTTTTATTCAGAAGCTGAAGCTTTTGAAGAATTGAGTTTGCGAGTTTTATTTACTCAGATTAGATTATTAGATTATTTATAGATAATATAATATATAATATATAATATATAGATATATATATAATATATAATATAATATATAGATATAGATATCTATAGATAAAATGCTATTTACACAATAACAAACACTCTGATTTAGAAGATATATAATCTGCGGGCTCGCTGGAAACTGAATTCTTTTGTAAAAAGAACTCAATAATCTAGAAAAATTTAATAAGAAGAACAGTTGATTTTGTTTTGTCATCTTCATCATCTATGAAGAACTGAAAATTCTAGACATATTTAATTCGAAGAATATACAAAAATACGAAAGACTTAATAGTTGATTTTTTTTTTGTCATCTTCAACATCTATGGTGAATTAAATGCAATCTAAACCATATTTTACATTCTAATTGAGTACTTAATTAGCCTAGTATGTTTTCTCTACGTGTAGGGCTATACTAAACGCGTGTACTTAAGCTACCTGCGCGTTGAGCAAACTCATCTTGCTTATCTCCGACGCCGACGGTTTGCTTCGCAAACTTGCGCTACAAAGGCAAACAGTGAGCTTAACCCAAACACCAGGCAACTTAACACCAAAGACATCAAGGGGTTAATACCACAACGGCGACGCGTCGAGCCCCGGGGCCGGGCTGGCCCGTGAGGCTGTGCCTCTCAGCCTGAGCGTGCATGGGCGTTGCTGCTATCGTAAATCGCAGTGGGTGCCGACGTCGACAACTTAAGTTGCCAACGCAACCACCCCGAACGTCTTTGCTAACTTTTGAAGCGCGCGCGAGAGATAGATAGATAGAGAGAGGGAGAGAGAGAGAGAGAGAGAGAGGCAGAGGGAGAAAATGAGAGAAAGAAGTGCGGAAGAGTGCGGCACAGTGGGCCCCATAGATAAGTGGGGCTTATCTATGTAAAAATATTTACATTTCTGTGAATTTTTATAGCCGCAATGCTTCTTCGACACGAAATTTGCTAAGGTCTGGAATACTGCCACTACTCGTAAAGTCGGCCAGCTAAGCGATAAGTTGTAGAAAATTGTATCACGGCATCTACTCGAAATAAATTTGTTAAAAATAACAACAAGCAACAAGCAACTTAATTGACAGTAGCCCGAAAATAGCCATAAATGTTTGTAAATCAATTAGAACATGCCAATAATAATTATTGTACTTTTTCTGCACCAGCTCTGCGGCTAATTGGGTGTGAACTACACGTCCGATTATGGAGCACTATTGGGGCCAGGCCTGGACGGGTAGGGCCGTGCTGTCTGACTTTTTTGCGCTTCGCATATTTTTTATGTTCTGTCCCGCTATCAAAGCCAAACAAACGTCCGAGGCACTCAGCTCGTCGCTTCGTGTGCTGCCTCGCACTCTGTCTCTGTTCCTTTAGTTGCAATAAATTTTTATCTAATCTCAATCATAACAAAATAAAAAGCATTCAAAGGCAGAATAAATAGTTGTAAAAAAATTCATAAATTATAAGCAGCAACAGTTGAGGGAGAGAGAGAGAAGAAGAAGCAAAAAAAATAATACGAAGAGAATTAAATTAAATAAACTACAGCTTTATGAAAACAAAAATCGAAATGCAATTTAAAGCAATTGTTGGATGAGCGCACCACCTAAGGCTATTTATTTATGAACAAATGATTTTATTTAATTTTATTTAATCGTCGCTTGTCACTTTCCATTTTGCACTTTCGCTAGACAATGCCCACACACACCTGTGTGCGTATTCTATATATTCGGCAGACAAATCAAATTGAAAATTTATACTTGATAATACCGCTTGATCTCCACTTGATTCCCACTGGATTAGTGCGGCTGTAATTTTAAATCGCTTTTGCTTTTGTGGTTGTGCCGCGTATTATTTTCATAACACAATATTAATAATCATAATTTAACTTTAAGCAGATTTATGGCGACGCGCAGGCATTGTTTTTTTTTTTTTTATAAATATATGCAGTATATATACAAATAATATATGTACTTATATTTATTATATTATGATTTTTATAGATTATTTATGGGCGTTTCGCATTCGTTTCGACTTTGATGTGTTGAAATGAAAAGTTTGCATAAATTGTCGTTGTTAACTTTTATTTTTATTGCATGTTGTAGTGTGTGCCATATATTTATCTTAAATTATATGCCATTGGTCCCATAAATAATCAGTTCGGGTTCAAAGTTGCGCCCATCATTGTTATATGGCTGTCAGTAGCATCTGAAATTCTTCTGTTCTTCTTCAAATTCTATTTCTCTTCATTTTCATTTGAGGAGGCGAAATTTATTTACATAATGATTTCTGAAGACAAAGCATGCTCGAAATTATTTTATTGTCATCTTATTGTGGCAGCTGTGCAGTTTTTGTGGTAGACCTGCCCCATAGCTTCTCTATATATGTAGTATATATAGTATTTATATAGAGGTGTGTATATGTATTATCATTCGTGTGGTGCGCGTGTTGGGCAAATACGAAAGGTGCCAAGTTCCAAGATTCTCGATGTTTTGCCAAGACTTTCAGCATGTTTTCACATCTATTACATTATATTGTTTTATTTTATTTGAATTAAAGTTTACTGCTTAGCAGCTCATGGCAGTTTCTTTATGGCTCTTTCTGTTATTTTGTTTGTTTTTGCCAAAAAAAAAAAGAAAAAAACGAACAGAACTTGTTTCTAATTGTTTAGAGTGACGTCAATGGCTAATTTGTTTAATTTACTCGCAGGCCCCATTCAGAAATGTTTTGAAAACAAAGAAAGTTTATGACAGTTGACTTATTCTCCCCTCTGAGAAGTTGTCACCTGCGTAGCTGTGATTTATAAATTTCTAAAAAGCTTAAATGAAATTTCTTTCTGCAAATTCTGTAGATGAATTCTAATTGAACCCAAATAGGAATTGGGCATGACAATTAACTTAAAATTAATAATTGACACTGTAAATAGTTCAATAAACAATATCAGACTCTTTAATTTATATTGCTAAAGCTTAAAATAATATGCATGTACTTGTATAACTAAAGCTGCCCAAAACGAAGTTTAGTTGATTTGTCACCGACGGATGAGTTCAGAAAACCATCGCCTATCGAGAAGTTAACCCATGCTCTAAGCAAAGACGGATTTCTACTACTCTTGCAACTCACATACATATCTTTGGAAAAATTTAAAATTTTAAAAATAGATCTTTTAAGCAGTATTTTAAAGTCTCAAGTAATTTTGTTAGCTTTCTCTCCTCTATTGAAATAACTAAAAATGCATATACTCGTATAGTAGATTTTAATTTACATCTCACAACAACAATTGTATTACCAAAATTTTCAAATTGTTATCTGTAATTATTTTCTTCATAAGTGATTTATTAAAATGCATTTTTCAGTAATGGTATATTTTCGAGCTAAAATACATGAATTTTCAATTATTTTTCGGTTATATTATAATACAACTTTTGAATAAAGTAAAAATTGTTTAAAGAATTTTTATATACGTTATCATTACATGAATACAGATTAATTTATAGTTAACAGAGTAATAGGAGCAACTTTTTTGCTGAACATTTAGCTACTTAATTGTTAATGTTAATGTCCATGGCGTGTACCCACCTTTGATTTATGAAGGAAAGATTAAGATAATCCACTTGTTAGCGCCGTTCAATAGGCAGCTGACCCCGCACAGATGCCGTCGTCAAAGGCACACGAGATCTTTTATTTAAAACTTCTTTGGCATATATTTTGGGCATATATTGTAGGTAAATAAATGTCGCACTTTCTGGCAAATGTTGTGCACTGGGCAATAAATCAAATTGCCTTTATTTTGGATAACATTTGTTGCATTCACAGGTTTTGGGGAGTGCGGCGCAATCTCTCAAAAAACTGTCGTTGATGAAATGTTGCGTGGGCTGCAGTAACGATTATAAATCTCTTGGAGCACGAATTTATAGATCTCATAGATATCTTAAGTATGTTTGCTGTTGCAACAGAGTGTTGAGTGTGCGTTTGTATAGGTGTGTGATTTTTGATTGCTAATCAAGTAATAAAACATTTAAATGCTTTTTATAGTTTACACACAAATTTTGATTTTATTATTGTTATTGTTGTTGTTTTTGTTGTTGAGACACACGCGTAAGAGCGAGAGCGAATGCGAGTAGTATGTGGCTCAAATAAAAATCACAGTGATTATGTTAGTGATTAATTTTAAGTAACTCATGGATATGTTTTTAATGCGACTTTGATGCTAGGTGCTGTTGTTGTACACAAATACACGCTCACTTGTACACACACTTGCTATATCGTGCTGTTATTTTTGCACACAGACACACACACTCGCACACAAACAGTCGGCTGTTGATTCTAAATCCGCGTCGGCTTTAGTGTTTTAATAATTTAATCCAGCGCGTAATTAGGGTAAATATATAGAGACTGAATGGCTGGCTGGCTAACAGACTGACTGACTGACTGAGTCAATTGGTTGTCGCTGTCGCTGACGCTTTAGATTTGGCTTTGGCTTTGGCGTACACGGAAACACAAAACGGAAACAACGCGTCTGCACCCGTAACAGGACGTAGCTGAATTGAAAACGTGTGTCGAAAAAGTATCTCTTGGATTGTGGATTGTTTGCTGCGGCGCAGCGAGTGCGTGC